TATATTCAAAATAACTATAGCATGACGTAACACATGGAGCTTTACATATACAAATAACTATAACCATTATATATATATTTTTTTTTTCAACTCATGCAATCTACTTGATACAATAAACATTGTCTGAAGATTACACAGAAAAAAAATCTTATACCTCCGATAGGGCCAAACACCAGAAATGTTCGTGGGTTGACCCTCGATGGCCAGAATTGTTCTGACATATAGATGTGAATCTTTACAGAGAGTGAGATTTTCTCACATTTTATAACAAATAAATAATATCCCTATTCAATTTTCTATGCATTGGAATATTGCATATTACGTAAACATAGTCTGCATTTATGTAGGAAAAAATATCGAGGGCTCTTACATAAGAGAGATTCCTCAAAAGCCAAAGTATTTCATATCCCCCCCCCACACACACACGCATGCACGCACGCATACACGCACGCACGCACACACGCACACATTTACACACGCGCGCTGCATGTGTATAGATATAAACATAGAACGCCGGTCATACCATATCATGGTCTTATAATATCTTGCTCTTGGTAGCAAATATGAATCTATAAATATGAAAATAAAAAATAGACCGGGGAAATGTTTTGAACATTAATAATAGTCACCCCTTTATATTTCCGTCTTTCTGTAATTCCTATATGTCCTGAGGAAAAAATCCTTTTGGCTTACTCCCTTTTTAGATTTTAATGGAATAAACATAATTTCTAAATATTATTTATTAAAAACAATAACCTCGTTAGCAATTTAAGTCACTCATGTTCTTCAAGAATACGAAAGCACAAACATTTTATATAGTAGTTACCCCTAAAATATTGTCTTCTTCTTCCTCAGCCATAGTCAATTATTTTATCAAATATATATAAAATAATACATGTTATCAAAATATCATACTGCCATATTTTATAATAAATAAAACAAAATAAGAAATATTAAGAAAATTAAGTAGAAAATAATTTATTGAAGTATATTAACATAACGAATTAGTTTAAGGATATCTTTTATACTTAGTATTAACTTACCCCACGAAACTGGCATAATCTTTGTCAAATTTTATCTCTTTAAACTTTATCAAGTACAAGATTTCCTCCATTGGAGTTGAAATCTTACAAATTATCATGTTAAACTAATTCTGGCATCGAGTTCCTTGTATTTTCTTGTGGAACTCTGAAGATGCCAGTTTATTCCTGCATTCATTTACGGCATCACTAGTAGTTTACCGTAAATAATATTTGTCAGCATGAAAACGAGAGTTTTATATACAAATAGAAATCTAATTCATTTAACCTATGTAAAATGTCTATCCATCTGTATATCCAATTTACCTGTTCTGTACAAACTTATAAATTCATTCTCTCACTTCATTTCTCTCTCTCTCTCTCTCTCTCTCTCTCTCTCTCTCTCTCTCTCTCTCTCTCTCTCTCTCTCTCTCTCTCTCTCTCTCTCTCTCTCTCTCTCTCACCTCTCACCTCTCACCTCTCACCTCTCACACGCACACACACACACACACATATACATATACATATACATATACATGTGTATATGTATATGTATATATATCTATATATAATATGTGTGTGTGTGCCTATCTATCATTCTATTTATATATATATATATATATATATATATATATATATATATATATATATATATATATATGTAAATACACACACATATATATACAACATAGCCACTGGGTGGGCAAGCCAGCCCAAATCAGTGCTGGTCCCAAGTCTTGGTAAATAAAGAGGATTGGCGTCAGGAAAGGGCAACGGCCATAAAAATATCTGTTAGAACTTGATTATAGGTACCCCATATAAGAATGGGACAAAGATACAACAGAAGAAAAAAAAGATATATATATACGTACACACACACATATATATATGTATACACACACACACACACACACACACACACACACACACACACACACACACACACACACATATATATATATATATATATATATATATATATATACATATATATGTACATATATATATATATATATATATATACATATACATATATATAAACATATACATATATATATATATATATATATATATATATATATATATATATATATATATATATATATACATATATATTTATCTATTTATATTCATACGTACATACATACATACATTTATATATATACATATATATACGCATGCATCTATATATACATTTACATACATCTGTGTGTGTGTGTATATATATATATATATATATATATATATATATATATATATATATATATATATATATATATATATATATAGTATATGGGCTGATAGTGGGTATTATCTGAGCTCATCGGTTTGAAAATCAGTCAGCTAGATTCACGACCGGGAATATTTTAGATCGACATACGTACTGCACATATGCGCACCATATATAATTACATCACACACACACATCTATATATGTGTGTGTATATATCTATATGTATGTATGTGTGTTGCTCGAATGT